GCTTCCAAGCATTATCAGTAAATGAGCAATTTAGAATTTTGGAGAGTGTCTCTCTGAGTGAATTGTCAATAATTGACAATTGACCTGGAAAAAATATGAATTTTGGGGCGAAATCGCAAAAACGAATCAAGTATAAAGCCATGTGGGGATTAATTTTTAACATTTTTTCGGAGGACTGCTGGAATTTTGAAATTTGTTCATTAATAAAAATAGGAATGGCATCATCAAAAATCGGGCAACCGAGGAGACGGAGTGAATTAGTATCAAGAATTTTTATGTTAGGGGCTAAAGTCGAAAATTTCTTAATAATGTGTTGTAAATGTTCAGGTGAGAATTTTGATTCTGGAATAAATACCTCGCATTTTGAATAATTTAAGTCAAGGCCAATACTTTTGAATTTATCAATAATGAGTTGAAAATCTGAGAGAACGGTTGAAATATCGCCAGAGATAGTTCCGTCATCAAGGTACCATACATTAAATTTTGAAGCGAGCGATTCAATAATAGGTTGTATAGCCAAACTGAAAATAGCGGGCCCGAGAGGATCGCCTTGCTAACAGCCGACAGATGAATGCAACAAGTTATTTTTGAAAAGGAGTTTAGTTGATTTGCTGTAGCATTGCCAAAGATAATTATAAATAGAAGGAGTTTTTTGTTGAATTGCTGAAAGCAAGGCACCTCTATCCACGGAGTTGAAAGCATTCTTAACATCCACCTTCAGCACTACCTCCGCTGCGTCAAGCGATAAATAGGTGCGAAGAGCGTGAACAGCTGCTTCACAACCACCCTTGACGCCAAAACCAAGCTGAACTGGTTGGAATTCAGCTGAAACAGTCGGTAAAATATGGTTACAACAAATTTTGGATGCTATACGGCGAAAGGTGGAGCCAACAGCTATAGGGCGAATACCACCGTCTTTTTTCTTTAAAGCAATTAAGTTGGCTCCGTAAAAGATCTCAAAAATATCTTCTGGAACTTCGCCGGATAGCATTAAATTAACCAAAAGAGTGATATTATGTAATAAAGCTCTGCCAGCGTCACCGACTGAGACGGAAATAAGGTCTTTCAAATGTTGAGGTGAAAGCCCATCTAGGCCACTGGCAGAGCCACTTTTGAAGGAGAATATTGCAGCCGAGATGTCAGCTTCTTTGCTTATTAAAGGAGCATTTTGAGTTGAATCGGGTGGCGAAGGTAGGACAAGATTTTGTGCTGGAGGTGGGTGCTTATCTTCAAGAGCACTAAGAGTCTCCTGGCAGTTGACGGCGACAACATCATTACTAAACAAGAGATTGGCGGCTCCTCGGAGATCGCCATCGCTTATTTTAGACTCTATTAGCTTAACAGATTTATTAGAATTTGGAGGCCGAGAGGGAGGAATGACAAGTGAATAAACGATAGGATTTAGGCGGCAGTTCTCCTTTATTTTTTGTGTTAGAGAAGTACAGGTGCTATTTTGGTTAATATGTAAAATTCTAAAGGAAAATGTTAGGAGTTCTGCCCAGCTCTCAGAAGTGTTTACTCTTAATACATGCTCGATGCATTGCGATAAAGAAACCGCGACTGAAGGCCGTGCAGAACGGGGGATTCTTTTTAAGACGGGAAGTGAATTTTTGAGATTGCCAAGAATTTGCCAAAGTGATTGGTTGCCCGAATTTAGAGATGGAGGAGGAGAAACTGCTGGCACAGAGGCAGAGGATTTATGAGACCTGCCAATGTGTATTTTTAAGCCACGGTTGCCTTTAAAAAACCGTGGTTGTATGCACTTTGGGCACTGGATGAGTTGTACGTCGTCACTGCCAGGTATTATGATTGCCGACATGCACGTAGAGATTGCGTCAAAACCAATAAATAATACACTTAACTAATAAAAAAGTATTCGAAAAAAATATGAACAATAAAAATAAACACAACACATAAACACATTCCATAGTCAACAATTTTGAAGTTTCGATGTCACAAAGCCAGGCACCATACGTCCGTTGCTTTGCTGCCGGGTCCAGTAAAGCCACCCATTGGCTGAGCAGTATTATTAATGCCTAGCAACTGCGGCTGCGTTTATGGCGTCCTTAGAAACAGTCATTAAACAAACGGAGCAAATAAAATGGTTTTCCGGTTATCCACATACGACGAGACTTAGCTTGCCAATATGCAGGGACAAAATAACAACTCTGGGCTATAATAAATCGGGCTGCTTTTTCCAAAAAGTAAACAAATAATATTTTTATTCTTTAAAATATATTTAGCTGAGGTCTTGACAGGTCGTAAATTTTTTTTTTTTTTGATTGTCTGTCTTGTCTGCGTAACTGAAGAATTAGTAGAATCGTCAAAATATACGCTATTCCGGTCAAGTGGACGTGAGAATTTTATTGTAGTATTGACTACCTCACAGAAGCTTATCGAAAAAGCTAGCTCGATACATTTCGTGCCAAACACTTCAAGAAACATTAGAATGCGTCACACCGACATTCTAATGTAAAAAGAAAAACAGAATAATTTAACTTAAGACTAGGCTGTATGGGCATTGTTCCCCTTGCCTTCCCTGAAAAGGGAGAACATCTAAAAAAAAAGGATCACTCAGTTCAGCAAATTAAAAAAGGTTTGATTGGTCATAACTTTTTAACTCTAAGCATTTGTGGTGTGTTATTAATTTGTACAGATATTTCCAAAAGTTACCTTCACGGTGACAAAAAAATATTATGCACTTCGTAAACATAACGCCGTATTTCTAGAATCACTCAATCTAAATGCATCAGGATTGAGTGATCCAATGAAACTATCTAGATTTACGTTGAAGTAACTTGATTTTTTGTAAATAATGTGACAACTTCTGTACAATTTTTAATATTGTAAGCAATCATAACAAATGATACCATGTTGGATTGCCACTGTAATGGGTTTTCTAGGCTACGGCTAATTGATCTACAGTCGGCTGAAAAGAAAACAACAAGTCCAGTAATCTATAATTCTGTTAAACAAAGCTACAATAACGGTCGGGACCCATTATTGAAAAAAAAATATCCAATATTGAATATCTAATGGGTCCAGTAGCTTTGTTCCTTATTTAACAGAATTATAGACTACTGGACTTGTTGTTTTCTTTTCAGTTTTTATTTAAAGTAATATTTAAGCAGTTGGGTTTTATGATTTTTTAAATTTACCTTTTTTATTTCACACTTTTTAGTTATGATTATATGGCGACATATACCTGAGTCTTGATACTTCAGTAAGGGAGTAAATATTTATTTTATTTATATTTTAGCAATAATGGCTTACACGTGAAAAGTAGATATATGCTGTCGTGAACTTTTTTGAAGAACTCCACTTCACGTCCACTTGTGTGTAAAAAAAATGTCATTTGGAAAAAAGTGTTTTTTTTTTCAAAATGTTTTTTTTTCTTTTTACTTCTCAATAAATCAAAATACCTACTCAACTCAACTACTCAACGAGCAAACCCATATGGACGCTGCGTTATAAACCAACTAATCGAGGGTGGACACCTAGGTCTATCTTAGCAAAAATAATATCTTTAAACTACTGACATTCCGAAACAAAAAAAATATAGGTATAAAGTACAAAAAAAAATCTCAAAACTATTTCAAATACAAGATGAGTATTTTATATCTGTAACTTAGATATTTTTATCTTAGACTGGCGGCCGCCTGCGACTTCGTCTGCGTTAACTTTATTTTTTTGAGAAACCCACAAGATATCAGGTAACTTTTTTCCGGATAAAAACTATCCATCCGGGTCATAAACTACCAAATTTTATCCAAATCCATTCAGTAGTTTCTGTGTGATTAATTAACATACATACAAACTTTCACATTTATAACATAAGTAGGGTAAGTCACATGTATGTTCATTGCTTTGCTGTCAATAGTATGACACGTCCCAACTTATTGCCCCCCCGCTATGGGACTCATAAAAAATGGCCAAACTTTCCGCAATCCAAAATTATTTTTATGCAATTGTTATGCATATAGGATTTATTCTAAAACAGATTTCTTGTCTAAAAACCCCTCTGTTATTGGATAACCGTACCAGGTAAATGACCTTCTTTCTAACCTTATATGAGTATGATTAATATTATGAGTAACGAAATCTATTGCAAGATATTTGCAATACGATAGGAAAATTTATTTGTTTAATAAGTACACAAATGAGGCTACCCAACGCAATAAGTTACAGCAGGAAAACTAAACATGCAATCAAGATATAAGCTTTATTGATTAATTTTCAGCAAGGGTTGAACACATTTATTTTGACGATGCAGACCTGAAAAGGCTGCGAAACGTCAATAAATAAATAAAGTTTCGTGCATTAACCCGTAAAAACTAGTTTTAATTACATTTATTTGTTTTCACTTAATATAAGAAGGCTTTAGTATTTTCTGTTGTTTGGGTGCCATTTTTAATATTACATCAATAGTTGAAGTAAATTGGATAGTTTATGTTATCTATATACATATAATAAAATGGTAGGAAAGTCAAAACTGTACATTGATATTTTTTTAAGAGAATACTTGGGGTGTGATCTACAATCGATACCGTAGCCAAAAATATAATTTTTGTTGTGTGTGTTTATTTTTACATTTTTTGTCTGTTTGCTTGTATGTATGTCCGGGATAAACTCATAAAATACTGCATGGATTTACTTGAAATTTGGCACGAATATTATTAAGAAGTCGGGTCAACACATAGGCTACATATTATCACGAAACTCCACTTCTAAGTGGGCAATACGGGGTTTGGAAGTTTGTATGAAAGTCCTATGTTTTGTTATGAAGTAAGAGACTTGAAATATAACATGTATGCTCTATAGATGATGTAGAGGTGTACTAATAATGTATCTTTAGGAATTAACCCCAGAAACCCCAATCAAAAAGTATGTGCGAATAACTAACTCCACGCGTACGAAGTCGGGGGCGGTCGCTAGTAATTAATATAGTAAATTTATGTTACCCTATATACAAAATGTATGCTTATGACATTTTGTATATAGGGTAACATAAATTTATCTCAATATACACCTAAGAATTCTTAAACAAAAGTGGGTAACGGCCAACATTTGAATAGCCGACTGTATATGTTAAAAGCTATTAAATAATAAACACTTTTTGGGCATACTCTAGATATACCAGGTTGTTCCAGTGAAGTGGCGCACACAGAGGTGCGCCGATCCTGAAACGCTCCCATATGGGCGTATGAGGGTACCGGTGGGTTTTAGTGGGTAGGGCCGGCGTTGTTTCGCACCGGGGAGTCCCACACACGCCGCGCGCCCAGCCAGCGGTACGGTCTGTAAATGGATTTCCCATCGACAAAAAAAAAGATATACCAGGTTACCCAAGCACACCATGAAGTCTGACATGCAATATTTATTTACCCTATATAAAATATTTTCCGAGTTTTGTCCGTGTGCTGCCACGTAGGCATCACACGGACAATAACAAACATCGAATCAGCCAGATCCTCATTGTTTAAATGTATTTTAAGAATAAACATTTCTTAAATGTGACTTTTTAAAGTACTTACCTCTTTTAGTACAGTTGATTAGTCTTTTATGAATACGGTCAAAGGACAATGTTTAAATTTGGCTTAAGAACCAAGACCAATTTGGCATTTACGATAATTCTTAGTATATTTTTTGCAATAATTATCAGTATTTAGATTGTGACGGACACTTCTAGTAAAGTGAGCTATATTAAAAAGTTAAAAAATAATCTGAGACTACCATTTTATGTATATAATCATGACAGCGCTGCAATCAAAACACTCTTTCTTGCCGGCCTAATGCCGGCACTTCACTAGGCTATTCGTGTTTGCTTTTTGAAAACTTAACATCAGTCTGTCCTTTTTATTCCATATTAAGCATGACAAGGACAGACTGCTGTCAAGTGAAGTGCCGGCATAAAATTCGATACTGTGTGGTTGTGGTGCAGGCAGTTTGCATTCTTAGTAATCTGTGGCATTCGTGCATTCTCGTTTCGGATTATGACATAAAGGTCTTTGTTACCAGGTCATAAAATTAAAAAAAAAATCGTTTCGGATTACCTGTTGTGTGTGTTTATTTGCGACTGTTTTTCCTTTAATTTAACTATTTCGGTTATCTAATATGCCATCGATGTTACCAAATAGCAGAGACCTTATTACCAAGTGCTAGAGAACCTGTGCCACAATATCCTGAGAGGATCATACTGCCAAATTATTCAAGAGAAGCTGATACACATTCACGCTGCATATTTACACAATATACATGTGATACACAAATAAATACAATATGACACAATTATGTGAAAAACAGGTACTAAACAAATTAGAAGCAAAACTACAGTTTTTATTTTATTCATGATTCCTACCTAACCAAGTATTTCGTAATAGTTATTCTTTAAATCGCCCGAATAAAAATGAATTAGTTGTAATATTAATTCAATTCATACTGAGTTCATACTAAGTTCATAGGTTGACCTATGTTTCATTTAATATTAAACATAACCTCAAAAAATATTTAGTTTTCCCGATAATTTAAGTTCTCAGAAGTGTCCGTCAATAATCTTTGTTTTTTCAGTCATTTACTTGCAATTTCGAACCTAGAAAATAATATTTCATGATTGTTGGTTCTTAGGCTAACAATGTATGGACGCAGAACAATGTCCTTTGTTTCTAAGATTTTCACGCACATCACTCATTAAATAAAACAAGTTTCAACGGGTTAGATGCACTAATTTTATTTATTTATTGACGTTTCGCATCCTTTGCAGGAATGCGTCGTCGGAATAATGTTTTTTTATATTTTGTCGAGCTACCTTTTACCTTTTTATAATTTGAATACGTTCAAGTTTTAAATTTTAAGAATATTTTTTTATAAATATTTACTGCCGTAATACATATACATACATGATTACCCTAGCGTAGGCTTGCAATGGACGGCTATTTGAGTGATTCATATCATTTTTTATCTACTCTTTCAGGTGAAGTCCCTCTGTGAAGATTTTATGTATATAAAGACAATTAATGAAAGTTAATTTATCAGTTCGGAGCTACCTGAATAAATGACAATGTTGTCTAAAGTAGTGATCGCCTTAGTGTGCCTGTGTGTGGTGAAAGCAGCGGCATTCACCATCAAGTCATATGAAGATGATGATAAATATGGTAAGGAAATTGTAATTTTTCTTCCGTTTTCAAAAATAATATACTTATAGAATGAGAAAGTGAATCTGAAACTATTTAGATTGATAGGTATTTTTAATGTATTTTACATTCGCATATCTATAAATCCCTTAATTTTATACAATTTCAGCCTACAACAACATAGTATGTTTCTTTAAAATTTTAAAGTTTTCTTCTTGGAAAGATCATCTTCCTAATCAATACTCATAACGGGAAAACTTTTTAATTACTTTATTTAGTCTCATGTAACAGATCAGTCACGTTCTAATACATGAATGTAAAGTTGAAGTTTATCCATCCATACTAATTATGAATGCGAAAATGTGTCTGTCCCTTACCTCTTCATGGTCGGTCCTGTCAAAATCTTATGTCCATACATTCTTATTTTCCGGTATATGATACTACTCTTTGTTCTTATACCTTGATCACACGCACCGAGCGAACGAACGAACGAGACAGTGCTCTCGGCCGAGTACTCGGTACGTATAAACAAAGCGCCGAGTGCTCGGCCGAGCACTCTTCTATGAGTTTTTAACTTCTATCACTGTCTCGGCCAAGAAACACATTACTGTCTCGCCCGTTTATTCGGTACGTGTGACCAAGGCATAGAATGCATGGACATAAGATTTTGGCAGGGCTGCGATGTCATTAATTTTTATTTTATTCTTTTCCCCCGACTTTGCAAGTGAAAGGGTTTATAATTATATTTATTCACAGAAAAAACCAGCCCTGTGGAAGATATTTCTCTAGATACTTCCCTCCGTAGCTGCGTAAACTCGCAATGCAATGCTGTCTGCCGCCGTCTCGGGTTCGCGCGCGGTGCTTGCGTCAGCGCCAATACATGTCGATGCTCCGGACGCTTGGCTTCGGACGTTACTCTTGATGACGTCAAACCAGATTCCCCCCAAGATGATAATCTAGGTTAGATTCTTTTTTTTATATATAATAAATTACATACATTTATTACAATTGTAAGCACCTGTATAACTAAATCTTTTTATCCATAGCTCTAAGCAGCCCCGTCGAAGATGTTTCTCTAGATACTTCCCTCCGTAGCTGCGTTAACTCGCAATGCAATGCTGTCTGCCGCCGTCTCGGGTTCGCGCGCGGTGCATGCGTGAGCACCAATACATGTCGATGCTCCGGACGCTTGGCTTCGGACGTTACTCTTGATGACGTCAAACCAGATTCCCCCCAAGATGATAATCTAAGTTAGTTTCTTTTTTGCTATATAATAAATTACTTACATACATTTATTATAATTGTAAGCACCTGTAAAACTAAATCTTTTTATCCATAGTTCTAAGCAGCCCCGTCGAAGATGTTTCTCTAGATACTTCCCTCCGTAGCTGCGTAAACTCGCAATGCAATGCTGTCTGCCGCCGTCTCGGGTTCGCGCGCGGTGCATGCGTGAGCGCCAATACATGTCGATGCTCCGGACGCTTGGCTTCAGACGTTAATCTTGATGACGTCAAACCAGATTCCCCCCAAGGTGATAATCTAGGTTAGATTCTTTAATTTTCTATATAATAAATTACAACACCTGTAAAACTACATATTTTTGATCCATAACTTAAAGCATTCCCGTCGAAGATGTTTCTCTAAATCGTTGATTTGGCTGGCATGTATAACTAAGCTGGGAGCAGTAACCCTTCTCGGAGCTTCGTATTATTTTTTGTTAATGGGGCATCCAAGCACAAAAACATCCATAACAAATAACTTATATTTAGGGATTTTTCCGAGTCTAACTTTCGAATCGGTTTTAATTTTCTACATTTTAATTAAGGCATACATGTATACGCAACCAAGGAGCTCGATGGCGCAGGTAGTTAGCGCATGCGGCCTACGATCGTGAAAGTTACAATAACTTTGGCAATGGTCTGTCATTGAATGGGTGCTTCGGAAGGCACGTTAAGACGTTAGTCCCCGCTAGATCTGCAGTCGTAAGCACCCAGCAATCCGCACTGTGCTCGCGTAGTGGATCACGGCCTCCCTATTCCATCCACAGGGAAGGCCTGTGAGTAGTGGAGACATTAATGGGCTGATAATGATAATGACATATACGCAACCGATAGTGAAATGCGTTGCATTTTTACAGAAAACCAAGAAGTGGCAGACACAGCAGCACCCAAGAGTTGCAACTTGAACTGGTGCAATCAAACCTGTCGTCGGATGGGGTACCGTAGTGGAGTATGTGTAAACGGGCGTTGCAAGTGTGACTTGTTGTATTCTGAAAACCCCTTACTGGCACTATCCGAAACCGATTCTGGTAAGAAAAATAAACTTTAAGGGAATAAAATGATAAATACATGACTTATAAATTAGTACTTAATTTTTTATTACCATTATTTTATTGTAGATACAATCAATGACAACGAAGTGACTTCAGACAGTCAACGGACAGCTGATACTGAGGGCAACAGTTAAATAGCCGACTGTATATCGAACCTCGCAGAACCAATTTTTTTTTATAGCTATTAAATAATAAACACTTTTTGGGCATACTCTAGGTATACCAGGTTACCCAAGCACGCCATAAAATCTGACATGTAATATTTATTTACCCTATATAATATATTTTCATGCTGCCACGTAGGACCCAACACGGACAATAACAAACATCGAATCAGCCAGATCCTCATTGTTTAAATGTATTTTAAGAATAAACATTTCTTAAATGTGACTTTTTAAAGTACTTACCTGTTTGGTACAGTTGATTAGTCTTTTTATGAATACGGTCAAATTTGTTTCTAAGATTTTCACGCACATCACTCATTAAATAAAACAAGTTTCAACGGGTTAGATGCACTAATTTTATTTATTTATTGACGTTTCGCATCCTTTGCAGGAATGCGTAGTCGGAATAATGTTTTTTTTTATTTTGTCAAGCTACGTTCTATTATTGAATAATTAAGGCATACATGTATACGCAACCAAGGAACTCGATGGCGCAGTTAGTTAGCACATGCGGCCTACGATCGTGAAAGTTACAATAACTTTGGCAATGGTCGGTCATTGAATGGGTGATCAAAATCTTATTATCTCGAGCTCCTCTGTGCTTCGGAAGGCACGTTAAGACGTTAGTCCCCGCTAGATCTGCAGTCGTAAGCACCCAGGAATCCGCACTGTGCTCGCGTAGTGGATCACGGCCTCCCTATTCTATCCACAGGGAAGGCCTGTGAGTAGTGGAGACATTAATGGGCTGATAATGATAATGACATATACGCAACCGATAGTGAAATAGGTGCGGCGTTTTTTCAGAAAACCAAGAAGTGGCAGACACAGCAGCACCCAAGAGTTGCAACTTGAACTGGTGCAATCAAACCTGTCGTCGGATGGGGTACCGTAGTGGAGTATGTGTCAACGGGCGCTGCAAGTGTGACCTGTTGTATTCTGAAAACCCCTTACTGGCACTATCCGAAACCGATTCTGGTAAGAAAAATAAACTATAAGAGAATAAAATGATAAATACAAGACTTATAAATTAGTATGTACTTAATTTTTTATTACCATTATTTTATTGTAGATACAACCAATGACAACGAAGTGACTTCAGGCAGCCAACGGACAGCCGATACTGAGGGCAACGAACCGATAAATGTAAGCTAAGTATCACACTAATATTATAAAGGCGAAAGTTTGTGTGTGAGAGTGTATGTTTAATACTTCTTCACGTCTAAACGACTGGAGCGATTTTAATAAAATTTGTTATGAAGTTAGCTTATACCCAGGATTAACACATAGGCTACGTCTGTCTGTCCAGTCTAGGGCAAATCGTGCATACATTGTCTTAAATCATGTTTTTATTGTTTACAGAATGAGATCAGGCTGCGAAAGCTTCCGCTACGTGACTGGACCTTTACATAAAAGTTGCATTTGCCCATCAATAGTGTGAAGTGAAGTGAAATAGACGACCGAACGATTAATTTTTATTTTTTTAGATTTATCACTTATTCAGTTTTTAGCATAATTTACTGTATATTTTACAATGACTGTTATAACGAATTTTGTTTTAATTCAATATACTCGTATAGTCCAGTCAACAAGTTCAAAAACGTGAAAAATAGAGATAAAGCTCCTAAAAATATGAGCAATAGCTCATTGGATTCGGAACGACCTCTAGAAAAATGAGTTTTGAGGATTTTACTGCACGTAAAAAATTGCAATTGTTATTAACAAAATAAGATGAAAAAAAAGAGGTATTTACGTTTTTGTTAATAACTCATAAACTATTAATATTTACGATATTTGGAAAAAAGGTCCTTAAAGAGGAGGAAATTTCCGAAAAAAAAGCCCCAGCTCCCGGAACTCTACCTCTATTATTTATAATTTTAATTTAACGCTGAAAATAGGGCTCCGCGCAGACATTACGGTATGGGCGCACTGCCGTTAAAGACAGTTTCTTACATAAAATTATTTTTTTATAGTAACAAATATGAATTTAAAAATTTAAATAAATTATGGTGTCATCCAGATACTTGAAAGAATATATTCCCGTTGGAAAATTTTTTTTAAATTAATTTTTCAAAAAGTTATGCAATTGTTAATTAACGAATTTTTTTCCTATCTCCGTTTTCATAAATGACGACATAAAAATTTAAATAATAAACCTATAAATTTTTGGCTCTGTGGAGCTCTTCTTATATATATACTTAACAAGATCCCGCGATAAAAGTTTATTAAAGTTAATTATTTTGTTTATAACAATTTTTTAAAGTTAACAAAAAATGAAAAGTCTAAGAAATGTTATTAAAAAAATTTTTTTAAACAAATGTTATATTATTGCTGCTTTCTTATCCAACAATGGCATTAAGTAACATCGGAAAAAAAATTTTTACATCATTTGTTAAGAAATTGTTTATAAACAAATAGACAAGTTTAATATTTAAAGAAATTTTTTTTTACCATTATGTTGTCTTGGCAAAATAATGATTTTAAAAAAAAAAATTTTTCTTAAATAATTTTTTTTATTGTTTATAATCGTTTTTTTTATATTTCGATTGTTTAAATAATTAGTTAAGAAATGATTTTCTCTTTAAAAATCATAATTGGCATTTCTTCATAGGTAAATAGAAAAAAAAAAAAATTTATCAATAATTTCATTGTTTGTTAACTTAACAATTTGTTATGAACAAATTCTAACTACCGTTATATTTTTTTTCTAGAGCTAAAAAAAATAGCAAAAACAGCCATATATATCATAATACTAAAAAAAATATTTTTCTATTTTTTATAACGCTTTTAAATATTACACGATACCAAAGTTGCACCGGACACTTGATTTGTCAAGTAAAAAATTAATATAACTTATAAACTATTCGAGATACGACAATGGACATTCAGGTCGTTTTTATAAAGCATTAATTAATCTTCAAAATAAGCTAAAAACCAAGTTTGTAACTATTGTTTATCAGCTAATACATGCATTTGTTTATAAAATTTTGAGATATCTTTAACTTTTTCGTATCTCTTATGACTTACAACTTAATAAATAATTAAAATACAGCTATAAACCTTAAAACAAGTTTGTTTAGCGATACATTATCTCCCAAATTATTAACTCGATGTTTAATTGAACACGAGTTCAATAAATATTAATTAAATCACGTATATTGTTTAAACAATTAGAGATGGAGGTACGATTAATTGATAATTTGGGAGATAATGTATCGCTAAACAAAATTGTTTAAAGGTTTATAGCTGTATTTTAATTATTTATTAAGTTGTAAGTCATAAGAGATACGAAAAAGTTAAAGAAATCTCAAATTTTTATAAACAAATGCATGTATTAGCTGATAAACAATAGTTACAAACTTGGTTTTTAGTTTATTTTGAAGATTAATTAATGCTTTATAAAAACGACCTGAATGTCCATTATCGTATCTCGAATAGTTTATAAGTTATATTAATTTTTTACTTGACAAATCAAGTGTCCGGTGCAACTTTGGTATCGTGTAATATTTAAAAGCGTTATAAAAAATAGAAAAATATTTTTTTAGTATTTTGATATATATGGCTGTTTTTGCTATTTTTTTTAGCTCTAGAAAAAAAATATAACGGTAGTTAGAATTTGTTTATAACAAATTGTTAAGTTAACAAACAATGAAATTATTGATAAAAATATTTTTTTTTCTATTTACCTATGAAGAAATGCCAATTATGATTATTAAAGAGAAAATCATTCCTTAACTAATTATTTAAACAATCGAAATATAAAAAAAACGATTATAAACAATAAAAAAAATTATTTAAGAAAAAATTTTTTTTTTAAAAATCATTATTTTGCCAAGACAACATAATGGTAAAAAAAAATTTCTTTAAATATTAAACTTGTCTATTTGTTTATAAACAATTTCTTAACAAATGATGTAAAATTTTTTTTTCCGATGTTACTTAATGCCATTGTTGGATAAGAAAGCAGCAATAATATAACATTTGTTTAAAAAAAATTTTTTAATAACATTTCTTAGACTTTTCATTTTTTGTTAACTTTAAAAAATTGTTATAAACAAAATAATTAACCTTAATAAACTTTTATCGCGGGATCTTGTTAAGTATATATATAAGAAGAGCTCCACAGAGCCAAAAATTTATAGGTTTATTATTTAAATTTTTATGTCGTCATTTATGAAAACGGAGATAGGAAAAAAATTCGTTAATTAACAATTGCATAACTTTTTGAAAAATTAATTTAAAAAATTTTTTCCAACGGGAATATATTCTTTCAAGTATCTGGATGACACCATAATTTATTTAAATTTTTAAATTCATATTTGTTACTATAAAAAAATAATTTTATGTAAGAAACTGTCTTTAACGGCAGTGCGCCCATGCCGTAATGGCTGCGCGGAGCCCTATTTTCAGCGTTAAATTAAAATTATAAATAATAGAGGTAGAGTTCCGGGAGCTGGGACTTTTTTTTCGTAAATTTCCTCCTCTTTAAGGACCTTTTTTCCAAATATCGTAAATATTAATAGTTTATGAGTTATTAACAAAAACGTAAATACCTCTTTTTTTTCATCTTATTTTGTTAATAACAATTGCAATTTTTTACGTGCAGTAAAATCCTCAAAACTCATTTTTCTAGAGGTCGTTCCGAATCCAATGAGCTATTGCTCATATTTTTAGGAGCTTTATCTCTATTTTTCACGTTTTTGAACTTGTTGACTGGACTAGTATAAGTTAACACCGACGTAATCATTTCTTAGTTTTGTATTTCACAAGAATGCTCAAATCAAATAAAAAATTTCAAATCATAAATAAATAAGAGACAGATAAAAAGCACAAATGCTCGTATTCATCACACAAATATCTGCCCCCACCGGGATTCTAACCCGGGACCTCTCGAGTCGGCTGCACCATGAAACCCGGCGTACCAACCACTCGGCCACTTTTTTTCTTTTGTCCTTTTCAACCATTAAATTACAAAGATTAAGCGCGTCAAAGTTTCGGAGTGGGGACTTGTAAGTAAAAATTGTAACAACACATGACTTCATGCGACATTTCAAATCAATATAACTGTGTAATGTTATGGTTATGTGAAAAAAATGAGTGTCCAGTACTATTTGATAACAATACACAATACAATACAATACACAATACTTTATTGAAAACACCACAACACAGAACAGAAATGAGGGAAATGACAATTGTAAAAAAATAGAGTGCTTCAATGGGCAGTCTTATCCCTAAAAGCGATTTCTTCCAGACAACCTTTGGATGGAGAGAGTTGAAAGAAAGCTAGAGTCGGCGGTGTCAGTAAAAGAAACAAGGTATATAAACGAATTTATGAATTAAATATACATATTATATAAACATACATATATACATGTTATACAATGCATAAACTACACATATATAAGTTTAGTCCAGTCAGCAGAGATAAAAATGCAGCTACATCGACAAAAAGTGATTAACAACTAGATTTTTAAAGACATTAATAGATTACGCTAGTCTACTGGATACAGGAAGAGCATTCCATAGACGTACAGCTTGGACGTTAAAAGAACGACCATAGAAGGTCGTGTCATGGATAGGAATTTTTAGGGTTAAATTTTCTGATGATCTAAGAGATAACGCATTGGAATTATGAAGGTAATTAAAGCATTCCTTGAGATAGCGCGGGGACAAAGGATTGAACAATATATTGTAAAGAAGTGATAGGTGAAGAAAAATATTTTAGTCATCATCACTAATAGTCAACTTTTGTCGGTCGGTGGTCGTGGTAAGGCGCCTTACAGCGAGGAAGACAACCTCTTCAAAAATCACCCGAGGGGTCTCTCGGTCGGCGCCCGGGGTAGTACGGTTAGCGGTAGTCGAGAATCTATTGGTTGAGGCGGCAATGCCATTCGGTAAAGGCAGTTGCGGCGCGAGCTCCGCGTCGCTTCCGGCCAACCCGTAACCCCGCACGTGGTGTGGGGCTGGGGGCCGTCGTCCTTCGCGGCGGGGGCTGCAAGGAAGAAAACCTTTTCAAAAATTACCAGTCGAATAGGTCAGGTAGTTTTCCCTCGCCTGGAAGCGGGAAAAACTATGTAATATGTTGACCTACATTGTGAATATGTCATGCGCTCCCGTTGACGCCGAGCGCTCTGGGGTAGCTGGGCCCCAGGGTGAGAAGTTGACTACTAGCGGCTTATGCGCTCCGGCTGTCCACCGGCGCTGCGGGATTACCGGGTCCCGCAGTGGTGAATTGGTTAGCGAGGCGTTCGAGGGAGAAAAAGGTGAAGGCCTGTTACGCCTTAGAGGAGGAAGCGAAGACGACGAGGATCGGGGAATTGCACCCACACCCCCAAAAATCAACACTGCTCGTCGGGGGAATAGAAGGGCGGCGAAGGAACGTAACGATCCTCCTCAGAGGGAAGAGGATAGTGAGAAGGAGAGCGTGGATGGGAGTGTCGCACGTGCGGACAAGGTCAATGAACGCAATATAGTGGATTTGTTGAATTCGTTGACACGGAAAGATGTCCTCATAATCGAGCTGTCAGACAAATTGACAAGGTTTGAACGCGCTGAGCTAAAAACCAAGAGGTCCAG